ATGAGGGAGAGCGGGACGAGGCAGAAGCGTCAGCGCGAATGCTGAGCCGCAAGGCGTTTATCCGAAGCGGCGCAGGCACATCTTGCGACGTTTCTCGCAAGTCATAGCCAGCAGCAAGCAAGCGAGGCAGGCGTGAGAGTCGAAGGGAGGCAAGCAGGATTCTGCGAAGGTCAGCTCGCTTCGGCTTTCTCGCACCAGCCTAGTCATTCTACTGCTGCCTTCGCAGTTCAAAGATATCTACACATTGTGCCCGTCCAAGCGAACGCCAGGAGAGCTCCTTCAATGGCTCAGTAGTCGGTGAGGTTCTGCTGCGAGCCGTCGGCGGAGGCGTCTGTCGTGCGGAGGGCTTCGTTTGCCTGGCCAGAGACGTTGACTGCGAAAGGATAGCAAGAAGGTCAGCCGGTCTCCCATCATGAAGCACTTCTCACTCTGCGAAGTTGGCGCAGACGCGAGCTGCACATGTGAAGATGGCGACTCACTCGATCCCGGCTGCGTCTTTGCCTGCCACGAGTTACGGTCCTCGCCTGCCGGAACGTCGTCAAAGTCGGCAGCGGTCGAGCCGTCCGTACGGGGGTCGCCGCCGTGCTCGACGGGGATGCCCTGCGCGAAGTGAATACCTGTATCAGCTCGTCTCAACGAAAGAGGGGAGACGTTCAGCGGACGCACCATGTTGTCACCTCCTCCCGTGTATCCCGTCCGTCCAACATGCACCTCAGCGCCGGGGAACTCGCTCAAGCCCGACTCGTTGACGCCGCTCTCTTCCGAAAGTGTCGTGTTGTGCGTGTCGTACGACGCAGACTTGTTATGGCGGTCCTCCTTGGCGTTGAGAGAGGCTGCCTGCTCCTCGATGATCTGGGCGGAGGACTTTTGCGAGTAGTCGGGGCCGGACATGGTTTCGTGAAGTTCGGGTCTGCGATGGCAGCCGTCAGCGTCGACTGGGTGGACTCTGGCTGAAGCCGTCGACTCACTTCGACGTTTGTGAGACGTAGGTGAATGCAGGAAGGAGAAGGAGGGCGACAGTCGCGATCCTGCTCTCGTCCCCACCAGCGCTTGCGCTGACGCAAGGCCTCGGTTCGTCGGTCAAGCTAGATTCGCCTCCGGCCGACTTGCAGTCAATCGTTAGAAAGGAAAGACGTCGATAAGTGTGGCCGAACAGTGATCTCAGAGCTGGATCAGCCAGTGAAGAAGGGAGGGAAGAGGAGGGGCGGCGGAAGTCGATGCACCCGTCCAGCGTTGCCCAGGCTCTCGCAACTCAGCTTTAGAAGAGATCCTTGGTGCGACTGTAAGCGTGATGCGGTGCGCGAGATGCGATGCGGTGCGAAGGTAGAGTACGACAACAGGGCGAGACGAACGAAAACATGCGATGAACCCCTCGAGCAGCCTCCTCCATCTTTAACGCCTCACCGTGCTTTCCTTGGCCCAAGCGATCCTTCTCTTCCAGTCCTCATACCCGATCCGCTTCCCCAGCTCGATCTTCGAAACCTCCGCGTCGTAAGCGTACAAGATCTCCCGCAGCTGGCCTTCCGTGATGAGGCGGTGGCGAAGAAGGTACGAGGCGAGGAAGAGGGAGAGGTCGAAGCGGAGCTGGAAGTGGTGGACGAGCGGGGCGTAGTACCGCCAACAAGCGAGTTCGCGCTTGAAGACCGACGGCGGGTGGCTGCGTGACGGGCAGCAATGAGCGACGCACTCTCAAGGATATACGAAAGCGGCACGTACGAATTCAGCAAGCACCAGCGCATTTGAGCTCGCGCGATGATCTTGCTTTCCGGCGACGACGTCGAGCGCGAGATTTCCTGTTCGAGGGAGGGACGTTAGCCCCTGCGCCATCGCCCTCGATGAAAGTAATACCTAAGTCGTCCTTGATGCGAATGAAAGGCCGCATGTGCTCGAGCGTGCTGTCGCCGAAGACCTCGACCGCATCGCCTGGAGCGTACGGAAGCTTCGTCTGTCCCGCGGGGTCTCTGCGTCAGCGCGAGGATATATGTGAGAGGGCACGGCGACCTACAGCAAAGTCGTAGCCCATCCGATCGCCGCTCAAAACTGGCATCGGAAGAGCTTGCGCCACCTCGTGCCCTCTGACCGCCATCGGATCCGGAATCCAAACGCCATTCGTCTGATCCTGCTCGGTGAGGATGTAGCCGAGACGTCGTGCGACGATGTCGTGCGCAGAAGCTGGTGTAACAGGCGGCTTGGCGGAGAGGACGTTGAGCGAGAGCGTGAGGCCCGCTTCGGTTGCCGAAAAGGCGATATGGCGGGGCGAAAATGCGATCGGGGTACGTGTGAGCGACATTGCCACAGGAAGACGCGTCGAGCCATCGACGAACGTCATCCTCAGCTGGATGTCGCTGGCGCTTGCGGCGAGAGAAGGATCCAGAGGGAAAGAGAGGGTCGTGCCGGCGTCGGGGACAAAGCTGCGAGTCGGTGGAAATGGCTGCGATGGCGGAGGAGGCGAGAGAAGGAGGCGCAGCTCGGTTTCGTGGCCAGAGAGGAGGGTGGCGACGTCTCCCTCGATAGCTACAAGCGCCGCCTCGAGGCCGACGAACCATTCGCCGTCCTCGAAGATGGACGCGACAACGTCGCTTGCCGGAACAGCAACTTTATGCAGCGTGAACTCGAGGATGCGCCTGTGGTAAGGGGATCAGCCAACAACGAGAGATACAGCGCGGGAGCTGTCACGCACCAGTCGCCCGGTCTGACCGCTTTTGACGTTATCGGGTTCGGAGACCAGTCCGTCGGCGGCTTGATGTGGCGGAGCTGCTCGTCCGGATCGATCTTCCACCAGTCGTCCTCCGTCCTGACGTTCGCGGGTGGGCGAGACTGCGGCTTCTTCTCCTTGACGACCGTCTTCTCCTTGACGACCTTCTTCACCTTCTTGACTTTGACCGGCTCCGTCTTGACCTTGTGGTCCTCCTTCCGCACAGCTGACTTTGCGGCGAGATCAGGCGAGATGCTTCGAGCTGAGATGGTCGCTTGGCGAGGTGGGACGAGGACGACTTCGGACTCGGAATCGTCGCTGTAGTAGACGGGTGTCCGGCGACTGAGCGAACGGGAGAGCCGGTGAGAGGTGCGCTGTTGGAGCGAAGCGGTGCTGAATCGGCTGGAGTCGACCGACTCTGCAACGGATGCCGAACGAGTCGTACTGGCGTGAAAATTTTGCACCGGTAACGGAGGCTTCTGAGGCGAGACAGAGACGCCCTCGAAGAGCTCAGGCGAGCCTCCCCTCTCGTCCCTCCGCTCTTGTACCGCCTGCAAGCGCGCCCCGCCTCGCTCTACCTCCTCGTTAACCTCGAGCGAGTTCGTCCGGTGCTCCAACTCGTCAGTCACAACCACGTCCCCACGCTGATCCGCCTGGCTCGTCTTCTCGGGCTCGCTCAAGCTGTCGTCGCCCTCGAAGAGATCGTCCATCGGCTCGTCTTTCGGCGTGCGCGGCGCAGTCTGCTGCAGTTCGACGACGTCCTTTGTAGGTGGCCTGGGAGAAGCGATTGGAGGTTTGGGGCGAGGCGGATGGCGGATTTGAGGCGGAAAAAGCTTCGCCTTGTGCGGAGGCGGAGCCTTGGTGAAGAGGGCGGTCGGACACGCTGTGGACCGAACTTGAGGCGCAGGATACGACAGCGGCCCTTCCAGCTTCGACGAGTAGAAGGACGAGGAGCCGCTGCTCCAGCTGAATGGCGCGTACGGCTTGTCGTCGCCGCCAAAGACGAGATCCAGTGGTGCGGGTCCTCGCATCGGTTTCGCGGCAAGCACCGTGTCATGAATCCCAACCTGTGGCACGGGCTTGAGTCGGGCGGGCGGAGACGGCTGTCGTGGCGGCGGCAGAAGCTGGCGGTTCGAGAGGAACTTGGGTCGAGTCGGAGACGAAGAGGATTTGCGTCCGGCGGATGAGGCGGAGGGAGACGGGTTGAAGCACGGAACGTCAAAGTATCGAGGCTTCTTGTAAGGACGCGTGTCGGACGAGGCGAGAGAACGGCTGTCGTCTGACGGGAGCTGACCCTGCGATCCGACTGACTCCCTCATTCGCTCCTTCCCTTTCCCGCTGCCAGCCCGTACATTCTCGCCGAGCGAGTCCCTGCCCTTTCCCGACACACGTGATGCGCTGCCGCTGTAGACATCGCCTCCTGCGCCCCAGCCTTGTCCGGTTTCCCAGCCTAGGGGCAGCTTGCGCCCAGACGAGCCAGGAGCAGGCATCGCAGGGGCTAGAAGTCGAGACGTAGACGGCTCAGGATCGCGCGGCGCGTTCTAGTGTGCAGCAGTGAGCTGTCAGCGAACCGAGAGAGTCTCGAGGACGAAAGGGCGAGCGTACCTCCATATCCCGACCTTCGGGGCACTCCAAAGCTCGGCCCCTACTCGTAAGCCGCTACCTCGAGCCCTACAGGCCCGCGCCAGCCGACCTGGCCGGCGTGTCGCAGTTTCGACCTTGATCAAGTGGGGAGAAGCGATGAGGATGAGCAGGGAGTCGGAGGGCTCGAAGCTGTCGCTGATGGCGCTCGGGTAGCGTTAGAAGTCGTACTGCGAGGCCTGGCTCAGCTTCCAAGCGGAACGAGCGAGTGGGTGGTCGTGGACGAAGCCAAGTTCTTCTCGCCGAACAACTTCGCCTGTCGGTCAACATCGCTCTGCTTCGAAACGCGCCAGACTGCCGCGCAGCTGATCCCTGTGCCCGTAGACTGAGGGCCTATAGCCAACAACCGACTCCTCGCGGCTCTGCGCCATCCCCTCGACTCGCTCCGTCGACCGTCGCAAATGCGATGTCTGAACCTCGAGTATGCAAGATGCGCGCCGTACCTACAACCTCCACGACCGCCTTCGAGACGCCTCTCCGTCGCCTTTACTCCGACTCCTCCTCCTCCTGCTCCGCCCACACCTTCTCGACCCTCGCGACCCACTTCCTCAGCTCGCGCTTGTCGGCTGCGAGCTCCTGCGCGAGCTTGAGGGCCTTGGCCTTGGCGGTGTCGAGAATGGGTGTCCCGTCGGGAACCGGCGCAATCGGCGGGCTCGAGACGAGCTGGAGCGAGTTGGCGCAGATGACCGGTTCTGCGTCGCTGCATTCGGATGACGAGTTGGTCAGCTTAGTGAGGAAACTAAGCAGGCGAGCACACGCACGCGATGGGGCGGGTCCCAGGAAGCGGGCAGAAGACGACGCCGTCCTCGTCTGATTGCAAGATCTGCGCAGCGCGACTCGTCAATGCGTGCGAGGTGGATAGGGGATTCAAGAATTCACGGCGCACCCAGACAGGCCAGCAGCGCGATCCTGCGGTACGCTGGACAGCGAAGCCGATCGTCCCTGCCTCGACAAACACCTCTTCCTCCTTCTTGACGCCCGGCGCTTCGCTCGACATCCTCGCACTACGCCTCGACCCCTCCTTGACCGGCCTCTGCGACTTCACCGGCGCAGGCGTCGACTTCTTCGCCGGAGCAGCCTTCTTCCCAGCCTTCGGCGACGGAGCGGCCGACGCGCTGGTGCTGCTTGACGTTTTCCTCGCTCACTGTGTCGAGCTCGTACGTTGGCTCGACGCGCGCGTGCGCTTCTTCGGCGGCGGACGGTTGTCGTGCTCCTCGTCGGTCGCGAGCTGATCGACCTCGTCCTCCTCAGACGACGTGTAGGAGCGCGAGACATTCCTCTTGACTGTTTTCGAGGTCGAGGTCGAGAGCGCCGCCCTTGACGCCGAGGCGGCCTTGCGAGGCGACGAGCGAGTCGCAGCCCCCGCCTTCTTGACCGTCGGCAGCGGCCGCTTCTTCGCAGGCGCGGCGACGACCTTCTTGCGCTTGCCGCCTTTCGCCGATGTCGATGCGCCGCCGTCCTCGTTCTGCTCATTGCCGCTCGCCTCGACTTCGCCGTCGACATCGCTCTCCAGCTCATCCAACTCCTCGTCCTGCTCCTCGCGCTCGCGCTTCTTCGAAGCCGGCGCAACGGCCTTCCCCTTACCCTTTTTATCCTTAGACAACGTCGCATCCTCAGCCTCGTCTTCGTCCACCTCGCTCGGCGGCTTGAACAGCCCAGCCTGCGCCTTCTTGACGAGCGGCTTCTGGCGCAGCACCTTCTTCTGCTGCTGCTGCTGAGCGGGCGGAGGAGTTGGCGAGCGGGATGGGGAGCGAGCGACGGACGAGTCGGAAGGCGAGCGTTGGTGCTGGCTGGCTGGCGATGTGAGGTGAGCCTTCTTCGCTGGAGCTCCGTTCTTTTGCGCATCGTCCTGCGCCCCTGGGACTCCATTCGGCTGCGCTCCGCCTTCTTCGGCACCGTCGCGGAGCTTCTGAGCAGGCGACGGCTCCTCGAGGACCTCTTCGACGTCGTCCGCTCGCTCGTCCTCGACCTGCAACGCAGCCTCGCGCGCTTTGCGCTCGCTCGACGGACTCGGCGCCCAATCGCTCCTCCCTCTCTGCTGCACTTCTTCGACCCGCTCTGCCGTCTTCGCGTCTCCATTGGTGCCGACCCCGTCCTTTTCGCCAAGCCAAGCGGTGCCATCCTCTCCGTCTTCCTCCTTGACCCGCCTCTCGCCGCTCTCGCCCAGCGTATACCACTCGGGCGGCTCCATGCAGCGCTCGATGCGCTGGTAGACCAGGACGCGGCGGCCTGAGGAGGTGAGAAGGTTGGCTGGGTCCTTCGGGTCGACTTGCTGTGGGCCTTCGGCGTTTGCGCCGTTCGCTTCGTTCGAACGAGACGAGTCTCGACGGCAGGAAGGGTGGGTGGAGGGCTCGTTGCCGAGCGAAGACGGTCCAATGCCAGCCACGAGGGTCTGCGAAGAGTTCGGCTGGAAACCGGAGGTTGAGGTTGATGCGATGCCGTTCGTGCGAAGCGCCTCGTCCGCTCCGAGCCTGCCGAAAGGGAAGTCGGGAGAGGCTTGTTGCTGAAGGCGGAGGTTTGGTTGCGGGTGGGAGTTGGCGGAGGACGAGGAGTGTCTGCAAGAATTGCGCCGAAGGTCAGCATTCCGGCTTGGCGCAGTCTGCAAACCCCTTGTACAGCTCATGAGCTTCTTCGGCAGGGCTAGCACGTCAAGCCATATGCGACGAGACGCACCCTTCGACAGCTTTTCCCTTACCCTTCACGTCCTTCATCTCCCGAAGTTGCCTGGTAACATGCTCCGCGATACCCTCCAGCCAGCTCACGGCCCTCGCACTCAGTACGTCCTTCCTCGCACTCTCGCCGTCCAATTCACCCTCGCCCAAGTCCGCGGTCGTTCCGGTGCCCACCTTCTCGAGAACCTCAACGAGCTGCTCGAGCGCCTCCTTCGTCCAGACTACGCCCTGGGCAGCCTTCTCCTCCCATCCGCCTGCGTCGTAAGGCGAGAGAGTCGCGAGAGCCTCGAGGTAAGCGAGTTGGCGAGCGGGAAGGGAGGGGGACGAGGTGGACGAGTCGGGCTCGAGGAAGGAGAAGAGCGTGTCGAGGTGGGAGGGCGTGTCGGTGGACGAGGGGCACTTGTGAACGGTGTCGCGCAAGCGGTCGAGCAAGTCAG